CGAGCTGCGGGGTGGCAGAGCAGGCCACGGCGCCTTCACCCGGTAGCTGCCACGTGTCCTAGAGTAAGACCTTGAGCCGAAGCCACGGGCCCCGCTGGAGGCCGGGGTGAGGGAAGGTTGCGGGGGGCAGGCAGAGGGCCGCCGAGGCCCTGGTGACGCCTCGAGGGGCCCCAGGGTGGGAGGCACAGGTGGCCTGAGCACCGACGTGGCAGATCGACGCGTCAGTGAGGACCCAGGGTGCCCGCAGAGGGCCCAGCACGCAGGCAGGATGGGCCGCCTCGCTCGGACGCCGCCACGAGCACAGCCTGCTGCTCCCCCCTCCGGTCTCCCCTCTCGGGGACGCACCGGGGCCACTCAGGCCCCGAGCGCTCAGTTCAGGGAGCGAGCAAGTGAGCGGGGCCCCGACACTTACATCTTCATGTACCGGTGCACGTCAGCCGGCAGGGAGGACCCGTCGAAGACAAAGTCGTCCACCATGACGTTCAGGGTCAGCTTGGGTCTCCAGTGAGACACGGGCTCGTCCAGGGCGCTGGCCGGCCCCTTCTCGGCTTCCACCTGCTGCAGGCGACCGCAAGAGCGGCTGCTGGCGGCGGTGCCGCTGCTCCAGGCGCCCGCCTGCCCGCCTGAGCCCGGCGGGTCCCGGAGGGGCTGTGTCAGGGACGGGCACACAGGCCCAGTAACTGCCCGTGGCTAACCGTGTCACTGAAAAGGACACCTGGACGCCCGCGGCCAGTGCCGGGAAAGGGCTGGGCGTCGCCCCTGAAGACAGCTGAGTCCAGAGGAATGCCAACCTCCAGGAAAGCCCCCCCCACTCCACAGGAGGTGGCTAAGCTCCGCAGGTAGCGACTGGCTCGCAGCTGCACAGCCCACACTGAAGTGCCTTCCAGGTCCCGCTGGCGGCTCCGCCGACGGGCAACTGTCTGTCTGCTGCAGAGCCCCAGTCCCTCGCCTCCGACGCGAGGCCCAAAGGGCACCGCCACTGGCCCTGTGGCGGGCAGGTGCGGCTGTCCCATGCCGCGGGAGGGAGGGCAAGCCAGGAGCTGGGAGAGGTGGGCCCAGAGCCCGATGCCCCGTCTGCGCCTGCACACGCCTCCCACAGAGCTGAAGCCCCCGGGCTGCGCCCCTTCCTCCCCACGCAAGCCGGAGCGCCGCCGGGCGACACCCTGCAGCCGGGACACGCACCTGGGCGGCCGTCCCGCCGGTGAGCAAGTTCACCTCCTCCGGCCTGGGGACCATGTAGGTCGTCAGCGGGCTCACCAGGTGCACCTGCTTCCCGTCATGCCATGGCAGGATGCCGGCGTGGTGGAGAAAGATGTAGGCATACAGTGTCCCGTTGTTTCTCGTCTTCTTGGGCACAGACACGTTGACAGTCCTGCAGCGAACCAGGGCCTGGTGTCCCCTCCAGTGACACCCTGTGCAGGTGCCCACGCTCAGAGCGGATGCCGCGGGCCGTGCCCGACCCTCGCTCACAGAGTCCCGGTGGGCCACGGCGCCTCACGAACTTTCTCAGCGCAACCACCCTGACGCTCCCTGCCACCACACACGACCTGGGACTCGGTGGCAGGCGGGCAGAAAGCGGAGGGAAGCTGGCCGGGCTGCCCGCCGACCCACAGGCACATAGCACCACAGTGCAGGACTCCAAAACCAAGCCCCTGGCCCAGAGTGGGCCCGCCTTCTGGGGAAGGACGCGGATGGCGAATCCTGGAGCCCCCGCCAGGATGCAAGGGCCCGGGCAGCAGCCACAGCCTGAGTCAGACTGGTGCTCAGTAGCTGCTGCCACTGTACAGGGAGGACCCTGCCCACGGCAAGCTGCCCCGAGGTACCGGGGTGGGGGGCTTTGCACCCTGCTCCCCGGGCACTGCTGGCCAAAGGCCTGCCGAGACACGGCGGGAAGATGCCGCTCCTACCCTCACGTTTCCAGCCTTGAGGGGCAAGGCCAGCGGCTGTAGCAGCCAGGGTGGCCGCCACACAGAGGCCGCGGGCCTTTCTGCTGCTTGCGGCCAGCATGTCCAAAAGCACCTGCCTGTGACCTCAGTTCATAGGGTCGAGGTCACCGGCACAGGTGCACAGGGCGCGTGGCCCTCGCTGCCTCCCCAGTGGTGACCATGACACTCATTGGCTAGATCCTGACCAGTGAAGCAGCCAGGCAGGCCCCAGGTCAGCCCCACAGCCACTGCCAGGACCCGTGCCACAGCCCTGGGAGTTGAGGCGCGCTTGACACTTACTTGTCTGTGCCCACATCACCGCTCAGTTCCATGACCTTCCACAAAACTCGCCTGGGTCAGTCCAGCCGCTGCCAGCCCCTGCCAGCAGGGCTTCCTGCAGCTGAAGGGACCAGCAGCCACCGGCCACGGCAGGCCAGGCAGTGCCCGCGGCCCTGGGCGGCAGCAGCGGGAGCCGACCGGCACCACGTACCTTTCAAACTTGGACTCCACGTCGAAGTCCTCCACGTTCAGGACCAGATCCACGCTGTTCTCGCCGCCGAGGTTGGCGCGCGTGGTGGTGTACACGCTCAGCTGAGGAGGCACGGGGTCGGCGGGTGAGGCCGGCGGGCCCC